TAATCAAGAAAACAATAAAGCAATAAATGATTTCCAGCCAAAAAATACCCAACTCTATCCATCGCCAATGAACTCCCGCTAATCATGGATCCTAATACTCCTAAATGACGCGTTTCCAACGGTACCAATATCGTCCAAATCGGTGCAGTGGTTGCTGAGATAAGTGAAATCCAGTCTGAGTGTGGCCACGCTGCTGGGTGGGCATGGGAATTTGGTCTGTGGGGACTGGGAATGTGTCTGGAAAAATAGGGAAAAATCATGGAAGAGTAGGAATGGTATATGAGGACGTGTGTGATGTGTTTCGTGAAGTGGGGATGTGCAGGGATGGGGAAATCGCGATATTCGGTTCGTTTGTGCAGTACCGGCTGTGCCCGCCTACAACGGCAGCGGTAGGGTATGACTCCGGAGGTGAAGAGGGTGGAGGTCTGGAAGTCGGGTCAGGGTTGGGTATGCACAGATATGACAGGGGAAAGGGATGTCCCCATCTTAGGGTCAGCTATATACATGTAGAGTCCAGCAATAAGGAAACCAAACAGATTGCCGATAGAATCACATGATCATAGAATGTTCCAGAACAATGCCAGAGATGATCTGGGCCACCGGGGCTTAGGTAAGCAGAGTAGATGGGAATTGCCGGCATACTTCCCATGCACATATGTGCAGCCAGCATAGGGTCCAGGGTTGTTTGCTGATCCCTGACATTCTCCACACCAACGTCGAATACTAAGTTCTGTATAGCCTAGCTATCAACTGACCTGAGGATTGAAGAGGCACTAAGGCCAGCACCTACACCAACCTTACACATCCAGACCTGGACCCGGACCCACATGTGCACTTCTGCCCTGCATGCTCCATGCACCGCATGCTCCAGGCCCAGTTCCTATCCTTCATGTGACTTCCAGGTATCCCCGGAAGTTTTTGCCATATTGGGCCACTGTGGGAAAGTGAGAAGTTAACCTTCTTCACTTTCTTACCCACAGTAGCATTGTGCCCTGAGATGGGCTGTTACAGGTCAGGTTGTGGGTTATAGAGAGAGGGGTCCTGGGGACCCAGGGTTGTCCCCTGACAAACCAAGTATTTGCCCAGAATACAACAGGGCTGTGCACATGCATGCTATATTCTCTGTTCTGTCCCTCGTTTCTGCAGTATCCTGTACCAAGTGCTGACATCTTATGGTGGAATTATTTAATCACTGCCTCATTGCAGATCACTCACTGGTTTTTTTCCCCCTAAGTCCCTCATTTTCTCTGCATGGTGCCAAAGCGCCCTCCAGCAAAGGTGAAGGAAGATGTTCAGCCTCTGGCCTTTTCACATTACAGCTGATCACATCATGTAGTACCTTTCACACTGGATCCTGGGCACCCATGGCTGGCCCACAGCTTGTCCACTGGCTGGCCACTTGTCCTTTGCTTGGCCCTCCCCATCGCTTCTGTTGCTTGGCTGAGCTAGTGTTTGCAGTAGCACTGGTAGTATTTGCCTTCACTCATTGAAACACTTGTTCTAATTGCCCTGCCATAGTTGCACTTTTTCGTCAATGTAAGGTCGGTGTAGGTGCCGACCTTGTATCTCCTAGTTCCTCAAGTCCATCAAAGAGATAAGCTGTATAGAGCTATATTTCAATGGGTGTGGAGGAAAGGAGTTAAACTTCATTCATCTCACACTCCGTTACATAAATATGTAATTACATTGTTGTACATTATTTATAGCAAGGGAAAAAGATGGTCAGCCTCAAGGAACATCATTCCTTACAGTCTACCTGTTGGACAAGGTCCTTGACCAACTCCTTGAAAAATTCAAAGGTCCGTGTGGCACAGAGCTATTAACCAGACCTGCATCCTGGAAGTGAGTACCAGCACTTGCGAGATTTTGACTCATGGAATAGTACTGTTGCGTTGCGATGTTGTGTGTAGTGGGGGTCGGAATGCATGAGAGTATATCACGTAAGTGCTGATTTCTCAATGGTTTGAGATGACTGACCAGGTGAATTCTGGTCGTAGGTATGTCCTCCAATATTTTGATGATGATTTGCATGAGTTGGAGCAGTGTTTGGGATACCTAAGATGCGTGCAGTAAGGAATTTTCACAGTCTTTTTATCTGTTAACACTCACCAATGTTTAGTCCATAATAACCTGATCCTGTCCATGGAAGTGGCGATGGAGATAAGGAAAGTGCAGCATGTGCTTGTATTGGTTACATGTACAGTGTCTGTACAGATCAAGCTGTAGCAAGGGTGAGGTGGATGGGCTCTGTCAGGGCAACCACACCTGACCATACAACCCCAGAACCACCTTCCCTAACCTCCCCCACTTCCCTCATCCTCCCATCTTTCACAACTACAGCCCGCATGCGAACCCGTGGGAAAAATCACGTGGGTCAAGGCAAGCAACTCACCTTAACCCATGTGACACCTTTTCCGCATCGCGGGAACATGCTCAGCTTTTACCCATAGTCACATTACAAACTGTACAGTACATTTCCTTTTATAGCAGCCAAGCGGGGAATAGGGAAACTTACCCTTCTTCTCAACTCAATCCCCGCTTAGGCAAGTTGTAGCTACCTTCCATAATACATGACAACTCAATCCCCGCTTAGTGAGTTTGAGGAGCTCGGGATAGGATCCAGCACCTGGCTACCTGGGACACCACAAGTGTCCAGCTCTGAGGTAGGGCTGCCCCCGGACGGAGGCCGGGCCCTGACAGGCTCCTAGTACTGCTGTTTGATGTATTTATCGCTCAGTTTTTCTGTATGTACTCTAGCCTCCAACAGGAGGCATGGGAATAATAATATTTGAATAATTAATAATTGTGTCAGGTTCATTTTGGACTCTTATTCCGAGTCTGTAATATTCAGAGAAGTGTTCAGTCACGATTACTACCAGGCATGGCTGTTGCCCCACTAAATCCGGTCTGTGCTATCACTGTGCTATCCTCTGTCAAAGTATGTGGGGTTTTCAGAAATATTCTGCACTTGTGCTGTGATCACTAAGTGTGCAATATAACAGAGAATAATACAGATATTGTCAGAGACGGGATTATTGTCGGAGTCGGAATACTGTCAGAGATCTGGGATGCTGTCAGAGACTGGGAATATTGTTGGAGTCTGGCAGACTGTCAGAAGACAGATAGACGATGGATTGGGTTCTGTCTGAGTTGAGGTCGGAGGTGATGCAGAGGTCTGTTGGAGCGCGCGCGCGGATATGCGGGCGGAAATATGCGGCGCGTCCGGAAGTGCTGTTCAAGGTTAGCAGAGTGGGATCGCGGCCTCAGCGACTCAGGTGGAGCGCTGTGCCCTGAGCTTGACGTTTGGGGGAGATCCCGTATTTACGGATTGACACTCACAGCGGACTTCAAACAAGACTTGCGGGCGGAGCGGACCTATAGAAGGAGCACGGACTCCGCAAGCACAGACTCAGAGGGGGAAGCCCCCTTTGCAGAAGGAGAGACTCAGAACAAACAGGGGGGTACTCTAGTTGATTTCAGACTGAGGTCCCCAAAAGTATTTACAAGGTATATAAATAGGCAAGAGGGAATATAGAAAGGCCGGTCAGTCCGGCGTGGTCCGGCGCGGAGATAAGCGGGGATTGTCAAACTAAATAAGGACAAGAGCCCGGGAACTGGAAAGGAGGAACAGATCACTAAACAATAAGTGGCAAGGGTTATTGATGAATAACTGAATGAGATCAATAACCTAGTGCCAATAAAGAGGGGATCAAATGCCAATATTGGCAGGGAAGCAAACAATAAATGGCACTCGGCAAGGAATGAATGATAAGCTGCCAAGTGACAAATGGCCAGAGGAAAAGCGGAGGTCAGCGCGCGGCGCCGATACAAGTCCGCAAATAAGCGGGGTCGGTGCGGTGCCGACACAAGTCCGCGAACAGAAGTTGATCTGCCAGCACTGTCACACAAGGACAGCATGAAGGCCAACAGAGGTACAGAGGGGAGTGGGAGTGTTGACCTGACCAGAGGTGTCAAGGGCAACCAGAAGTGGCCAGAAGGTGCAGAGATGGGCAGAGGGTGCGGAGTGGGCAGAGGGTGCAGAGTGGACAGAAGCGGGGCATGGCTGTGACCACATAGCGGGAAGCGATGAGTGTGGTTCAGATGGAGACAAGGCAGGCGTGACTGAATGCCGGGAGCACCAAGGGCTCAGGAACTGGAGGTAAGGTCGGAATACCGGCAGGGTCTAGGTTCTGATTCTTGGCCAAGTCTCACACAGTAAGGCAGGGGGCCAGACATGGGGTTGGGGGCTGGTTAGGATGGGTTTTGGGTCAGCGGATTCGCCTATCGGCATTGGTTCGCCGCTGACGGAGCCCCAGGATTTGTCGGTCATGACAGATATTCTCTGTACTATTTGGCTACGAATAATCTTCTCTTAAATGCAGTGATTGCCAGTCCTTACATCCACAGGATAGTTTCTGGTGTATATTCAATATTTTGCGGAGTCCTCCAATTGCATGTTTATACTGTGAATTTGGTTTAGCATCTCATTGAAAATCGGTGGAGCAAACATCGGGCAGTTACAGTTGGCATCGGGCAAATTTCAGGTGATTCAATCCAACAGAGGTGAAGGCATTTGCCGAATGAATTGCTTAGTCAGTCACCCACATAATCATGCTTACACAACTGGACCCTTTTGTAACAATTCGGTAACCCATCAAGTGAAATGAGACTACCAAACTAGCCCTGAATGTGCTCAGAAGACACAGCACTGAAAGCACTCTACTAGGTACCGTTGATTCTGAGAAACATAGTACAAGCTTTACGCATACACTCATAATTACATCATGCATACGGCTGGGAGCTTTTGAGAGCCCTGCTCCGGGACAGTATTACAAAGCGTCTATGGGATCCGGGACAAACCTGTTTTTTTTGGCAACGACCAACTCGTCGCCGGCTAGAAGAGAAGTAGAACTGGATTTTGAACTATCCGCGGACACAAGAAGACAAGATATGGTACGGGATATGATGACCTTTCCAAGGCCGTAAACAAAGAGTATATACGGGAAAAACGCTAGATCAGGGTAAATTAAAGGACCAGAGTACTTGATGTAACAGACAGCTTTTTGCTCGTTCTCATCGATCCTTCTCACAACGTAGCGACAGCACCAACCATCATCAACAGACTAGCGACCAAAGCGCCAACTCCAGTATCAGCGATACCCATCATCTCAATCGTTCTCGACGCAGCACCTGAGCGAGATGTGCTTGACGCCGAAGAAGTAGTCGTGCTACCCCGATTCGTGGTGTTCGTGGTCGGGATCGTCGTGGTTCCCGTGATACGCGAGCTCGGGGCGGATGACGTGACATTACCAGTCGTCAGCGGGGATGAAACCGAAGTCGAAGTCGAATTCAACGATCCGGTAGACGTGCTCGCGAGCGTAGTAGAAATACCTTCAGCTTTGGCCTGTTACGGATCATATACATATATTGGGTCAAGTGACCGCGAACATGGACTTTTTGCTTGCGTTTGGACTTACCAAGAAAGCAGCGAATGTCTGGTCTCCGCTTGTGGGAGGGTTGATAGCTGCTACCATTCCTTCCTTACAATGACTGACAGTAATTTTTTTTAGGGAAAGAGTTTTCATCAATATGAAAAGCCCATTGTGAACCAAGACTGGTTGTTAGCTTACGTGCTGACATCACAGAACAACCACACGGGGCTCGTATCGGCCACGGTATAGTTGAACACATAAGGCTGGCCCGTACCCTCATTCGCGATGTGCCTGAAAGAAAGCAAAACCAGAACCACGAGGGTCCCCAAGATCAGGCAAAATTGCTTGTCAGCGGTGGCCGCTCCACCCCAACGATGCACGTACGCACGTTCCAGAATCGAAACCGCTGCGAATGCAAGGATTATTGAACGAGCTTTGCACAACCGACTGTATTACATCAAACGTTGTTAAAGCTTAGTGTCCATCGTTGGTGAGAGAGATGAAGGTGGTTGACTTACATGACTTATGACAGTTACGAATTCAAAGGCTATAATGTCTCCTGCCGCAGCGGTGAAGTTGTTCGGGCTGAAGATGTCCTGGTTATTAGCGCCAACGTGGACATGGATCGTAGCCTAAACCATCACGTCATAACGCCGAGAATCCGAAAAGTGACCCAGTGGAAGCACGCAGCAACAGGGTCCAACATGAGCTAAAGCTATCAACTAACAATGAGAACAACGTGGAAGTCTTACAGCCCAGGCACTGATTGAGAAGAGATTGCCCACAACTACCCAGAAAACGGGCCAACGGAGAGAAGAACGGTTCATCACAACAATGAGGACGCGGGTGCCTTGGATAACGAGCTTGGACTCAGTTGTAATATGTGTGAGCGAGGGCCTTGAAGTCTCGGCGGATTCGAGCTCTTATGTAAAGCCCAGAGTTGAGGGGAATCCACAGGTTCTAAATGCGGTAGAGTTGATTCCCTCGAACCACTTGCCTAATCAATCCACGCTGATTGGGGGTGCTACCAACAAGGAAACAAGAAAAGGACATACTAAGCAAATAGCCACGGATATCCGAAGGGAAAAAGCTTGGCGCAATCAGATAAGGCATGGGAGGTGGGACGCTGATTGTCCAATGAGGCCTGATAAACCCTTCCAAAGACGTAAATACGACCAAGAAGCTCTGTTCACACAGCCCCCAAGTCCGTTACGGCAGTTGGAACAACGGAACTTGGAAGCAAAGAACTTGAAGCCAGACTTCAACCGTGAGAATTGAATGGGATTGTATGAAAGCGGAATCACTCTAAACGGATATTTGAAATTGACTGTCACAAAATGCAGGAACGTGATGAGCTGTTGCTCTTTACATAAGTAGACTCCAGAAGCAACCAAACGCCTCGCAAGCTCGGCCAATGACCAAGCTCAGCTCAACTGCGCCCCGTCTCTGGTCGCTGCGTTAGTTATGTAGGAGTGACAGTTGCGCTAAAATTGCGCCCCCCAAATGGACCAAGTGGGAACGCTGATAAACCCCATTCCTCACCCCAAAACTATCATCCTTGCCATCAAACCTCGCGTGCACACACATACACCTTCCCCCAACCCCCAGCCCCCCGAGCTCGATAGTCTTCTGCTGCTGGCCTCCCAGATCTACAAACGCCGGGCGACTAAACATAAAAGGATAAATTGCAATCATGATCCTCGGCACGTATCACATACCTATCTCGGCTCGTTTGCCATTATGTAACTGCATTGTTGCCGACCATGCACGCCAGAGCCCAGACTCTTCTTGCACCGCAACTGGGTATGTACAGTTGCATAATGACATATTGCACCCCGGGCCAAAACGGTTATACGTCGCACCACCCCTCAACCCCTCGGATCGTTGACAATCTTGACAGTACTCTCAGGGATAATGAGCCCCGTCGCGCTTCCCCACACATATTTTCTTGTAATGGATACCGGCAACTGGGGTACTGTATCCATCGATCGCGAAATTATCGATCAAGCGCCGCTGAACGGATTAACCATCATGGCGTTTCTTCTCGCGATTTCGGCTGTCAGTACCCATTATCATCATCATCATCATCATCACCATCATCATGCTTGCGCCCGTTTCTCCCCGCAAATATGTGTACAGTACAGTGTATACGTGGCCACGCAATACGCACCACCACGTATGCTCCCCAAATGATGTATTCCTGGTACGCGTTTGTGGCATGAGAATCGCACCTTGATGGGATCCGCGGGGATTTTTGTTATCTGCGCCGGTTATCACCCAACCCAATGGCGATCAATCATGTCGACTTCTGTGTGATATGACGCAGCCCCGACGAGGGTCATGTTCGGAGCACTTGCAGTCATTCACGTGTGAATGGTTCACTTTGAGATAAAAATTCGGTCACTCAAGTTTTTCCTTTGATTCTGGGACTCAGAATCAGAACCAAGTAAAACATTTATTATCGATATTAGCTATACTGAGTATGCAAAAGGGGATACAAAATGACAAGCAGAGAGGAAAAATACATGGCCACTTTCCACGGGCTAGATAAGGGTCACGTGTGACCTGGTGTGACAATATATATTGGATGTCACACACCAACCAAGCTGACTACCCTCGCGTAGAAGCTCAGATATGAACCTACTTACTTTCATGCAACAAGTGCATGTTCATCAAAACAAATAAACATGAGCGCATGAGCCAGTTGGCCTTCTGGTCTTTGGAAATATTCTGAACGTCTGGATACACTGTTCCGCCATAACTCCGCTTTTGCAATTAATTATCTTGGTAAAAGAGTGTGATAACATAATTCTGTCTGATTCCAGCCAAATTTTCCCATAGCCATAGCCCCAGAGGTGTTGTGTGTGTGCGATCCTGCCTAATTGACAGGTAATTGCATGTGAATACCTGTAGTCCATTGACACTTTTACCTGATGAAATTCCAACCGGCTGATTCTTTTTTTTTTTGCAAATGGGGCTATACATAAGCGTCGCCTGTTCGGAGCAAGATACATAAAACCAGCGCAAGCGCAGCAGCACAGGGGGTGAAAAATAAGGCAAGGAACAGATCGGAAGATAACCGACGGGTGATCGGGAACGTGAGAATTCACTTTTTCTTTTTCTGACATCAGCAACCAACATTTTGAATAAAATATAAAATAAAAAATCCGTACGCAGTTGACCCGAATGGTAACACGGATTGTGTAATCTGAATTGACCCTTCGTCAGCTCTTTGATTTGTTATAAAGGATCGTAGAAAAGCAAATAACGCGTTTTGCGCAGTCGTTCTACAACAACACCCTCCACGTCCTTGAGCATAGAATTTTGCTGTTTGATTTCTTCTCCTCAACATGATTCGTTCCATCCTTGCTGCACTCGTGGCCGCATCTGGTGCTTTGGCGGTGTGTATAATTTTACAGCATTTACATGGGGATGTTTTTTTTTTTTTTGACACGACCCACATCCGTGTGTTCCATTATAGGCGTCCATCACCGTTCAAGCCGGTGTGGGTACCAGCTTGATCTTCTCTCCTGACACGGTGACTGCGTCTCCGGGTGATACAATCGTCTTCAACTTTGGAACTTCCATCCCTCATGTCAGTCGCCGCCCTCCATTCCCGTTTCTCATCATTGAAAGATACTGTATCTTTTGTTGCATGACAGACTGCTACTCAGAGTACGTTTGACGACCCATGCACCAAGAGTACCAATTCGTCCGCTTTCGACTCTGGAACGTACGTCCATTCTTGTTAAGCGCGTTCCTCTTTGCCTCCGCTGAGATGTCCACCCTTCCTCCTCTAGTAAGCAAAAAGGTGGAACATTCACATACACTGTTCTGGACAGCGAACCAGTATGGATATATTGTGCTGTGTCAGGGTAAGTCATCAATTTCACTCAGCGCGCGCGCGCGCGCTTAATCTCATGTTCGATAATCTGAATAACTGTCACAATTTTATATCCCCCACTAGTCACTGCAAAGGAGGCATGGTTGCAGCTATCAACCCTCCCACCAACGGTTCCCAAACATTCTCCGCCTTTCAGGTGCGTCCATTCAATTTTTTGTTCTTGTCCCAGCACGTGCAATATGACTAATACATATATTCACCTTTAGGCTAAAGCGCAGGGTGGCACAGCGGTCACTACGACGACGACAACAACAACAGGGTCTGGCGGCTCCTCGACGACAGGCTCTGCTAAACCTTCATCCACCTCAACAAAGGGAGCAGCCATGCGCTCTATCTCGTCGTTATCCTCACTCGGTTCCATGGCCATCGTTATGGTGATGCTGAGCCCCATCGCGTTGGGAGGTGCGGTTTTGATTTGATGTGATGTGATACGCTTGGATAGATGGGACGAGGGCATAACTAGCCAAAAAATAATCTTTGTCTTTTTATTGTAAAGAATGAAATAGATAAGCCTAAGTGTCGATCACTTGCGTTAAAAATCGAAGCAGGGCTGTAAAAGTTCGCAGGTCTCTTCTTTCGTAGACAGGTTACCAGTCTCTTCTTTGACGCCCTTTGCGACTTACGCTTGAGGCTGAGTATCGTTGGCCGTTAGCATCTTATTCCAAATCGGATCAGAAGGCAGAAGGCAGAAAAAAAAAAGTGTCTTCGGCCGCAGCTGATCGCGGGCCCAAGTGGCCACATACTTATGTGTTTAATTCAGGCAAACGCGTGATCGGCGAAGGCAGGAATTGCACTACTTCTTCTTAGTGTGTGAACTAGAACCTGGGGCATGGCGCGGAGAGCGGGGGTTGTGACGGTGGGGCGAGAGAAGTCATACTTATTGGCTTCGCCAGCAGGCCAGGGGTTGATTACATACAATATGTAGGGGCAGCCGCAGTACTGTCGCGTCGTCACGCGACCGCGGGGTAACAACCACAAGATCCACCCAACCACCAAGCAGGGTTTACATAAATACCAACTTACGTCAAGCGGTGGAGGCGGCGGCGCGCCGTGGGAAGCCTGAGCCTGGATTTCACTGAATGAAAAGAAGAAAAGTGTGTGTAATCCCATGAGGCGAGGCAAGCACAGCATGATTTCACCGTGCTTCCGCACGTCCGAGCCAACATAAGTACAATTAGAGGAGAGTGCCTGTAGCTGCACTGTGCGCAAGCGCAGATAAGCACATGAGAAGTTTGGAGAAGGTCTGTGCCTTGCATATGCACCATCCCACTCAACCCAATATAGAGGCTGACCAAAGCGCGTCAAGTTGTGGCAGTGACATCATCGTGGGGCTGCCCGTGACCCAACAAACGTTGCTGCCGATCGACTTGTGTAACAAATTCGATTGAAAGCGGGAAAAAAACGATTTCGTATGGGTGAGTTGCGCGCGCGGTTGCGCCACTGGGAATGCACGGTCCCCAGACGTGGTGACAATTGCGTGCCATTGCCAAATCGATCTCGTAGTTTACTTAACCTTACTGTTGGGACAACTCGATTTCAGCCTCGAGTGAAACAGTCACCCTTGACGCTCCTCATCATCCCCATGAGGCCGCGTATGAGGCGTTTACTCATGTCTTGCATGAAATTAAGCATACGTGAGTCTCCCCATTGTCCTACGCACGGGCCCCTTTGCACAGTCGATGGTCCGTCTCAGCACCCGCCCGAATTGCAGTACATCATTCGATCTTTTGTCTACCACCGGTTTAGTGACTGATTTGATTGCGGCTGCATTCCCTGCCCTTACATAGCATAGTTAAATCAAGGCACGATTGGGATAAGCACGATCCCCGAATGTGGTATGTGGGACATCGTGATCTGTGTTCTTCACCGCTCACTCGATGATGGAATGCCTAAATTGGTCCCACTGACATTCGTGCGCGGTGAATCGTATACCCGCATAAACTACCCTCTGGGCGGGTTTGATGCATTCTGGGTTTTGTAACGAACAGGGCTAGGGCATCTTCCCTCAGCAATGAAGACCTTGTCGGGTTTGATATTAGGAAGGACTTGGTGGAAGTTCGCAGTGGACCAACTGCATATGGTCAGATCCTCTTTGGGCGTATCAGGATCCCCGCAGTAAACGATGAACTTGGAGAAGGATTCGTTCACGTCAGGTAAAGATTGATTGTCACTACTTAGCTATTGGCCCAAAATAAACCGAAAGAGGCTGATTAATTCTCGTTCTCAGGGTACACCATTCTCCTGGAGAGGTGAGGATATCTCTTCACATGGGTGCGTCGAGGTCGCTGAGCCATGGCATCACAGGAGCAAGCGAACGTCACGTTCCATTCTATCCAAACTGAAGAGAGCTATCATCGCGCAATTCACAAGAAGGATGATCCTTTCGAATTCTTCAACGAGTGACTGATGAAACCGCCCGTCGATGCTGCGGAAGAACGAATACAGCAGAGAGTGCGATACCAGAGACTAAATGTACAGTAGTAAATAAATCCAAGAGAGCGGGGAGTTGTGAGTTCGGGTGACTGTGTGATTGAGCAGTGGGCATGTCATGACCCTCGAGGTTGGGAAGACGACGCAGTTGTGGAAGAATTCGGGAATGTTGTCGAGGAAGAAACATTAGAAAGACCGAGATTAGTCCAGTCATCGCGTTCCATTAGACCTCTGTGGAGATCGCGCATTAGCTAAAACAGTGTGAATAAACGCAACGTCTTTTTTACTTTTGCATTCGGCATTCCAAATAGTCCTTACTCTGAGGTCGACACGCACCATTTTGAGACTTGTTGTCTTTGAGACATTTGAGATAAACCATCATGAAGCTCTTGCATTCCGCTGGGGGGAGAGTTTATTCTAGAATGGACACAGAACGATGATGAACGAATGAGGCTCACCGTCATGGTCCAGTGGAAATGACCCTCTATCGGGAGGGGTGACCAGTATGCCCGTAATTCCAGGAGGCCGTCCAAACGACATTCGGAAAGGGCGATTAACTAGGTAAAAGAGAAACAAACTCGAGACGTGTGTGGATTAGCGCTCGGAAATAAATTCGGTCCCGACGGAGTTAACGGGTTCTCTGACGCTTTGAACAATAAGTGTTCCAAAAGTGGGTTGTAGACTGGCAGTTGAGCCACCCAACACACATCGCACTCTTAAACCTCCCTCAAAGGCATAAACTCGTAGAACCACCTTTCCTTCTACCTGACACTATGTCTAGGAATCAGACTGATGATGTGTTCTCATCGTCTCCTGCTCATCCATCTCACACTCGCAATCCGTACGCGAACGCTCAGAGCCAGCTAAGAAAGAGTCTCAAGCGGTCAGCTGCAGTGGCAACGCTTCCTTCTCCACCGCAGAGTACGATGAAGCGCCAGGCACAACAGAATGGCGTACGCACATCTATGGAACTGAGGTCCTCCAGCTCCAAGCATGATACCGTTCCTGCCTTACTTCATGTGATTCAAGAAATCGCTGAACGATCTCCTTCGCCGTTTTCTGGGCCGCCCGTGAAGGAGGAACTGCCTGCTTCACGGGGGAGTGCCAGTAAAAATGAGGTTGCGGGAGAGTCAGAAGAATCAACTAACCGTCCTCAGACGCCACCGCCTCGGGATACGCCGCCTCCGATGCCTGTGGAAGCCCCGGTTACGCCTCCTCCAACACGGAAACGTGCAAAAAAGACGGGACCTATCAGGGATAGTCCCAACAATCCATTCCTTTCAACCAGCCCTCGACACCCTCGCACTAGTACTCTCCCCCCGCTGGAGGAGCGAGAGACTGTGGACTTTGTCTTGTAAGTGGACAGTTTTTTTTTTTTTGGTCGAGGTATATATAGCAAGCCTACCGTGTATGCAATCTTTGTAGCCGAGGTGCCAAATCATCGTTCCCCAATCCGTTCAAGAAGCGGCCGCTCGCCCCTGGAGAAGTCGATCCCTCAACCTTGGATCCTGCGGACCCGGGTTTCTCTCCAGATACTGTTATTCAACCAAAACTTTTGTGGCCTTCCTCGCCGTCCACACCTAGGACCCGATCTCAGACTGTCGCAGCCAGGATGAGATCATCGCGTTGTGATCCTTCTTCCATTCCTTCTTCACCATCAGAGGGGCCCTCGTCCCATCCATCTGCAACTGATACCGTCCCTTCTGAGCTCCCCGTTTCCCGGAGACTTTTCCCCGAGGCGCACGCCATTGGTCCATCTCATCACGCTAAAACGGCTGAGATGAAGGAAGGTATAAGGAAAGGAAGGATGTCGGGGAGTATGGTTATCGCGCAGGCGCATGGACCGATACGAGCTGGGAAGGAGACGCTGGCCACCGTTGCGCGACCAGGATTGTCGCGAGAACCTAGCCATATTCCAAAGTCCACGAGGGTGAAGGCGGCTGAGAGCCTGTTGTCACGAAAGGCATCATCCACTTCCGCCTCCGCGACTTCCGGAGTGAAGACACGCTCTGCTTCTTCGCCAAAAAAGACGACGGATGAAGTCGCTAGGAGAGAATGAAAGGACTCGTTACACTTGGTTGTGTTAGTCGACGCAGCTGTCTTTGTTCTCTATGATTCCCCTTTTCTTTATTTCCCCGTTATGGTCTTTCCATGCCGTCTTGTTTTTTTCATCGCTCTCTCATCGCCATCAATCGTCTCATCGTCCAAACTCACAATCGATTTGTCCAGCAAGTCATCCCATTCACTGTCTCATTTGATTCCCTATTCACGGTTCACAAAGGGACTCAGTATGTTGTCCCATCTCCATCCAGTTGCCTGTTCATTTCCAGCCCTTTTTCTCAAGTCGTTTTTTCTGACCTTCATGGTTTTTTTTTTTGCCCGGACGTTGTCGTTTCTTGGTCTGCGTCATGTCATAGTCTAGATGGCTTCAACCTTAGCATTCGAAACGCAATGAAAACAATCGCTTTTTGTCAAGTGTGTTTCAGCCTCCAAGCTCAACCCCTTCCCACAGTGGGCGTGAGAATTGTCCTGCCCCTCGCTGGCTTCTCGTATTGGCTGTGCAAGTGCTGTAATCGTTCAGTTTTGCAAAGATTCTCACATTCAATTTGACATGCTGAACGCCGTGCGCAGCATCGGCACCAGTATAATCTTGACCTCTTCCCTCAACTGCCCTCTCGAGCTGACAGTCATGGCAGACCCCAAGGACGCCACTTTCTTATTGAATTCTCCTCTTGGAGACTCTCTGCTCCCTACTATTGATCTTGCGGCATCGAAGGACGGACAAACGCGTTCCGAATAAGTGCAAGTGCCACAATTGATAAAGGCATCCAATACTTGAGGTGAGGATACGTACGCACAACTTTTTGATTCATTCTCAATGTTTTAGGGGCTCCGCCACCGCAGAATCTTTCCCATTGTCCTTTGGGGTCAGCACCTCGAACCCCGCTGCGTGGATGAATATGTCATGGGCGCATTCGATATTTATAGCGATTTTGATCCTCATTACGGCCCTGATCACCCCGAGCCCAACTGCACCTTGTGGAGAAGCTATATTCTATATACGCTACGTTCTCATTGATGACAGTTGAATACTGGAGGCGCTTAGCACGCCGCTGGTAATCGCTGTCCTGGTTATGACCACTAAAGAGATCGGAAGCGAATGGCCTTTGTCTTCAGCCACTTGTCATCGATCGATGCCCACAAGAGACTTATAACCACCTACGTTTTAGCGAGTCCCATGCCCCTCACAATGTCTTCTTCACTAAACAAGATTTGACAACTCCTTCGCGCCCCTTTTCTGTTCAATTGCTCCTTTCCCCCCTATCTGCCTTCAAACATTTTCCGCTCCTACTAAACCCGGTCCCCGCGTAGTTCCTCTATGTCTTCGATACTTCTAGCGCGCGCGTTCTTGTGAGTTTATCCGCTGCTGTTTCCTAACTAGGGCTGCTTGGCCCTGCTTCACTTTGGTAACCCAGATTTCGCGCATCCCACCTCCATCCCCATCACCTCCTGTTCTGCCACCGGCCCAGTGTCCCGATCCAGACCAAGCAGACGTGTGGTAAATTTTTTTTTTTCTTTGATATAATCAAATGGCCTTTTTACACCCCAAAACGCTCTCCGACGACTGTACGGTTTCAAACTCATATATGTGGCAAGCAGTGCAGAGTTCAAAGAAGCGAGTACTCTAGTGCAGTGTTGTGGCACCCTGAGCGCATGTGAGAATTGTTCTTTCGGATCATTCAGTTGTTTGGGCGCCTCTCGTATCGACTGTGCAAGCCCACATCGCGTACATGGGCGCCAATGAACAAGAATGACCTGTAAAGATTCTTACATTTGATTTCGGCAAAGCAAGCTGCCGTGCACAGTCTAAGTCGTCACCATACATAAGTGGCGCAAGTCCTGACCTTCTTCCCTCAATCTGCCCTAGTGACAATCATGGCGGACACCAAGGGTGCTACTTTCTTATCCAATCCCCCTGGATACTCTCCGCTCCCCACTGTTGATCCTGCGGCATCGAAGGATGAACATGTCGATGAGCAACTCGCTCCGAACAAGTGCAAACGCCACTCTTGCGCAAGGCACCTTTGGAGGTTCATCGCCATTGGTTTCGTCATCTTTACCATCGCTCAAGGCATCAAGTACCTATGGCAAGGACGCGTATGTACAACTTTTGACTCACCGTCGACGTCTTGGGGGCTGACAACGTGTTTTCTCCCTGTCCCCTAGGGTCAGCACTTTAAATTCCGCTACAAGGATGATTACATTATACGCATGTATAACGTTGCTGGCGATTTTGACCCCTATTTTGGCGGTGATCACCCCAAACCCCACTGCACTAAGTGGAGCAACTCAACTGCACCGGGTGAGGCTACCTACCACCTAAATGTTTCTACAGCTGCAGAAACCATCAAGCTTGTGTCTGGTGGCGGTTTCAAGGGCACTGTCGACTACGTTATCGCCGACAAAGACTTAGGGGACACGATTGGTGTCAAAATTACTCTGAGTGCGCCAGCAAAGATTGAGGAGCCCGAGACTGATTCGGTCGTTCACTCATGGTGGAAGCGGTTAACCCTTAAAACCAAGGGCCCTCAAGCCTATGTGTGCACCATTCCAACGCCTGAAGGCAATGTCAAAGGTGTGGTCTTGTCGGTAAGTCGGTGTCCGGTCTAGGTTTGGGTGTTCCCATCGGTGAAAATAACTACCATAGCGGAAGCGCCCCCATGGTCACGGCCACCATCATCACCGGGGCCACCCTTGGCCCCCGTTTCCACCACATGAACTTGACCACCCCCCTCCACCATCCCTGCACGTTCTTCCAGATGTCGGCATGTTCATCCCTCCTCCCGAGGTTCTAGGAGGGTTCGGCCAACCACCGCCGCCGCCACCTTCATACCCTCGAGAAGTGAACGAGGTTAGGGGCTGGGTCGATGGAAAACACCCTCATCGCCGTTATCATCATCCTACGGCGCCTGTCACTGCCAAGATCGTTGTCACCTTGCCGCGTAGTCATCTCGAGCTTGCTTCTTTCTCAAGCGTGTTTCCCCACTTCACTCAGCATATCAATGGCGCCTTCGATGATGTCGTCTTTGGAAAGCTCTTCGTTGTTGGTAAAACATCTGGGCTGTCTAGGGTCGAAGCCGATACGGTATCAATCATTGCTGAAGGAAACCCGATTAACGGAACTTATGTTGTGAAGGACTATTTGGAGCTGGTCACCACGGAGGCACCCATCGCTGTAAATGTTACCCTTCTCTCGGACGCGATGGCCCACAAGCCCACGTGTCTGGACCTAGTAAATCGCAACGGCTCTGTTGATGCCGATGTTCAGCTTGTCGCTGTTGAACCCTCCAAAGACTCGGTCAATGGCTCATTCAGTATCAACACCTTTACTTCTCACCGTCCTGCAAAAGTGGATGTCACCTCCTTCCCTCTCGGCGGTTATTTGAGATTTGATGTCTTGAACCGTTACGGTGAGATCGTTGCCGCTGTGCCTCCCTCTTACGAAGGCAGGTTCGGCGTTGTCAACAGGGGTGGCACGTCCATCGTCAAGTCCGACAAGGATACGAAAGACCCTTCTGGCAAGGGACGAAAGAGGGTGATGTTTGTTAGGCACGTTGTCGGAGGTATCATAAATGGCTTTGTTGGCTGGGCCGATGGCCCGGAGGATGGTATCACTATCGGGAAGGTTGATGCAGAAGAACTCGAGGTATGCAGTGAAGGCGAAAAAGGATGCCGCGTTACCAGACCTCTTCCTGGAGGGAATGGAGGGGGCGAATATTTCGATGCATTCGATCCTCCCATTGATGACGAGGGCCCCATGTTGACCGAGTCTGGGATTGATCTATTTTTTGCCAAGGGGGTTGTCCTGCTTGATCTTAACTAACGTGTGTTGAGTCTGGAGCATTATAGTTTCTTTGATTCAGTTCGCATGGTTGTTTTTCCAAGTATCGTGGATTTGTGTACATGCATCTGTTCAAATCAAATACATATCTCGAACTGTCTTCTAGCTGGGCGATGCGCGGTGCCTTCCGCTTATTCCCGCTACTCCGTAGCGGGTCCTGCAAATTTAGGCCCCACTCTGTGCACAGGGTCCTCTGTAACCTAGGGTCCTTTTTTCCCATTCTGACCATACGACAATAGGATTTCGGCTCACTCCGCTACAATGCAACTCACGCCATAAGACCATCCACCTTGCATCACCACTTCCTCTGATTTCAGTGAGTCTCTGTGCATCCCTTCTGGTCCGCTCTCTAAACTGTATCAACCACGTCCGACTCTTTCTGTACAGACTATGGCTACTTCAGTGAGTCTCTGTGCATCTCTTCTGATCCACTCTTTAAACCGTACATGCAGATTTGTGGACGTACTCATTTTTGAATGGTGCGTTGGACCTCGATCCACCCACCATCACTCATTACGCATAGCTTCATGGTTTAAGCTTCATGGTTTATATTTCACATTGTTAACGACCAATGACACGCGATTACATTTAATGCATCATATTCTGCATGCTCACTGTTACAACTCTCCATTTGTCGGATGTGTTGAAGAATCTAACCAGCTTCCGCCGATTGATGATCATCTCCAACGACTTCATGATTTCCTTCTCTCCCGATCTTTCTCCCTTCAACACCAAACCTTGGTTGGTGCTGCACTAGGTGTTCAATGTGCCTATGAATCCGTAAGTGGGTATCCCATGGCATTATTCAACGCTTTCAACAAATCCCCACTGCATTTCCTGATGCATTCACCGTTCTTCGTCATCTGGATCAAATTAATCATTAAGACTAAGTGGCTCTTTCCACCATGTCCATCGTCACATTCCAAATATTCTCAATCGTGTCCAATTACGCTCCATTGTATTTGACCACATTGTCACCGACTCTCACTGTGATTTTGGTCGTATCTCACACTCTGAACAGCCTTCTCGTTCTCGATGTCGACCACTGACATTCGGTCAGAACGCGCAAACCATCTAGCCAACTTTTTAACTCAACTCACACGGGCTGATGTTCGTCGGGGCTGTCTCCGTCGTTTTATCGCTCGGCCCCATTCCCAATTCCGTGAACTTGAAGAAGCACTGATTGCTTGACGGCGTGCCAAAACATGGATCATACATCTGCAAGACAATGGGTCCCCACGTCTCACACTACAGGACCCACCTTCTCATCCACACTTCCTACTGCTCAAAGAGCCCTCAAGGGTCGCGTCATAGTATTTCCTGCTCAACCAGATGCCCAATGCAGCGATGTGTATTACGTTCCATTTCGCACACTTTCAGATCGGGACGCCTGTGTTCACGGTGTGTGTCCAAGCCAAGAATGTGGGTGCTTGTCTCTGATCAACCTTCGAATGAAATAGATGGCACCCCATTGTTTTCTTTTGAATCAAATGTAGTTCGGAAGTATGTACATAGCTACACGGCGTGATATCTGAGATTAATGATCAAAATCAAGGCGGAATGAGTAGCGGGTACTTGCCGCGCCAGGCGGCGTCCACCAGTTATATATAATTATGTTGCAGGATGTTGAAAAGGCAATATCAAGCCAGAACTGTAAGCCTCAGCACTGAAATTTTTGTGTGAAAAGGGTCGATTGGACGTCCAGGATTGTTTTATACCATCGGATTGGGTGGCTGAGAGGAGTGATGGAGGGTAAATGGCCAAATAGTGAGTGCGCGGAGACCGACCAACCGCGTGATATACGTATATTGGACAAACTCGAAATACCAAATAGCGAGAACAGTAGCTAGCGGAGGGTGAACTAGAGAACAACATCTAAGCACGAGTGAGAGAATCAGGTGAATGGTAGACAAATAAAGGCACGGAGAAAGGTGGTCGGTGGTCGGTAGGCCGGCTAGGTTGGCTCCATGGACAAATAGACAAATAAATTCGGTCAACTTCGCTACAACACAGCTGAGGATTGACTTAAAAGACATCCTCCATGTCCAACGGTCCGACTTGGTCTCGCCTGAAAACATGTATTTACATATATTTATGCCGACAATTTTATTCAGCGGTTTCCACTGTCATCTTGTCCGACTCCGGCCCTGGAACTGGCATAACTTAGACAATAGTACTGCATTCAATTGTTTGGGTGCCTCTCACCGTGCAAGCTCACATGAGCGCCAAGAAACAAAAATGACTGGGAGAGTCCCAATTTTGTAAAGTTTCTTGCATTTGATTTCGGCAAGCTGCCGTGCGCAGCCTCGTCACCATACATTTACATACATAAGTCGCGCAGTCCTGACTTCTTCCCTCAATCCGCCCTCTTGTCCCAAGTGACAATCATGGCGGACACCAAGGGTGCTACTTTCTTATCCAGTCCCCCTCCTGGATACTCTCCACTCCCCACTGTTGATCCTGCAGCATCGAAAGACGAACATGTCGATGAGCAACCCGTTCCAAACAAGTGCAAGCGCCGCTGTTGCGCAAGGCACCTTTGGAGGTTCATCGCCATTGGTTTCGTAATCTTTACCATTGCTAAAGGCACCAAGTACCTATGGCGAGGATGCGTACGCACAACTTTTGACTCACCGTCGACGTCTTGGGGGCTGCGCCGCAGCAGGCTGACAACGTGATTTCTCCCTGTCCTCTAGCGTCAGCACCTCAAATCTCCCTACGAGGATGACTACATCATGCGCATGTACGACGTTTCTGGCGATTTCGATCCCTATCATGGCGATGATCACCCCAAGCCCCACTGTACCAAGTGGAGAAACTCAACTGCGACGGGCGAGACCACTTACCATCTAAATGTTTCTACGGCTGCAGAGGTCATCAAGCTTGTGTCTGGAGATGGTTTCAAGGGCACTGTCGACTACGTTATCGCCGACAAGGACTTGGGGGACACGATTGGCGTCAAAATTGCTCTGAGTGCACCAGCAAAGCTTGAGGAGCCCGATACTGACTCAGCCGTTCACTCATGGTGGAAGCGTCCAAAGCATAAAAATCATAAAATTAAGGGCCCTAAAGCCTATGTGTGCACCATTCCGACGCCTGAAGGCAATGTCAAAGGTGTGGTCTTGTCGGTAAGTCCGTATCCGGTATGGATTTGGGTGTCCATCAGTGAAAATAACTACTCTAGCGTAAGCCCCCCCACCATGGTCGCCATGGTCACCATGGTCACCGCCCTTGGCGCCCGTTGCCACCAGATCCACCTGAGTATATCTCTCCATTACTTCCAGATGCTGGCGTGTCCATCCCTCCTCCCCCACCGCCTTCGGGACATTGCCTACAGCCACTTTTGCACCCTGAGGATCTTCGAGAAGTGTATGAGACTGGTTGGGTGGATGGAAAACACCCTCGTCGTCGTTGTCATCCCACGGCGCCTGTCACTGCCAAGATCGTTGTCACTTTGCCACGCAGTCACCTCGAGCTTGCTTCTTTCTCAAGCGTGTTTCCCCACTTCACTCAGCATATCAATGGCGCTTTTGATGATGTCGTCTTTGGAAAGCTCTTCGTTGTTGGTGCAACATCTGGACTGTCTAGAGTCAAAGCCGATGTGGCATCAATCATTGCTGGGGGAAACCCGATTAATGGAACTTATGTGGTGAAGGACCGTTTGGAGCTGGTCACCGCGGAGGCACCCATCACTGTAAACGTCACCCTTCTCTCGAACGTGACGGCCCACAAGCACACGAGACTGGATATAGTAAATCGCAATGGCTCTGTTGATGCCGATGTTCAGCTTGTCGCTGTTGGACCCTCCAAAGACCGAGTCAATGGCTCATTCAGTATCAATACCTTTACTTCTCACCATCCTGCGAGGGTGAATGCCGCCTCCTTCCCTCTCGGTGGCTATTTGAGATTTGATGTCGTGAACCGTTACGGCGTGATCGTTGCCGCTGTGCCTCCCTCTTACGAAGGCAGGTTCGGCGTTGTTAACAGGGGCGGCACGTCCGTCGTGAAGTCCGACAAAGATGCGAAAGATCCTTCTGGCGAGGGACGAAAGAGGGTGATATTTGTTAGGAACATCGTCGGAGGCATCATAAATGGCTTTGTTGGCTGGGCCGATGGCCGGAGGATGGTATCATCATCGGGAAGGTTGATGCAGAGGAATTGGATGTATGCGGTGAAGGCGAAAAAGGATGCCGCATTACCAGACCTCTTCTTCCTGGAGGGGATGGAGGGGACGAATATTTCGACGAATCCGATCCTCCCATTGACGTGGGCCCCATGTCCACCGACTCTGGGATTGATATAGTTTCTACCAAGGGGGTTGTCCTGCTTGATCTTAACTAACGTTTGTTGAGTCTGGAGCATTATTGTTTCTTTGATTCAGTTCGCGTGTTTGTTTCTCCAAGTATTGTGGATTTGTGTACATGTATCTTTTCAAATTAAATATTTCGAAGCGTTTTCTAGCTGGGCGATGCGACCGGTGCTTTCTGCTTATATTGCAGGAATGTGAATTAAAAGGCAATATTCCATGATTGTTGTGGCTACACTCGAGCCAAAACTGTAACTGAAGAAAAGGGTCGATTGGACCTCCCAGAATTGTTGTGATACGGTGGGGAAAATGGCCAAATAGTGAGTGCGCGGATGGTTACAGACCGACCAACGGCAGCCAACGGCGTGATATCGGAAAAACTCGAAATACCGGATAGTGAAGACAGTAACTAGCGGAGGGGGGACTAGAGAACAACGCCGCAGGGAATAAGTATAGGCATGGTCGATGTCCCTTACGAGTTACTTATGCGCAGCCATGTAGGATCGAGTAGGATATGTCATTATTGCATATATCGCTAACCTATCAGCCCAGTAAGATCCCCGCCACGGAGTAGCGAGAGTATGGGATCGACTTGGAAATGAGTCTTGCGTTCCCTCTCCCGGTGGGGCCCACTATGACGTTAACGGGACAATGACCGAAACGACCATGAATATACGGTTCCTCTCGGTCGTCCCCTGACTCATCCCTTCCATCCTCTTGCACAACTATGAGCAGGCTCACCACAAATGTGTACGATAACACAGGAGAACGCAAAACAGCTGAGAACCTGCTTGCACGCGTTAAGAAAGAAAAGGAGTATATTGAAGTCACTCTAGGTCTGCGGCTCATTGCGTGGGTATCAGATGTATCAGTAACTCCGTTCAGACTTGACGAGTCCGACCTCGGACCTGACCGAAGTCTCCATGGACCACGGGTCCGACTTGGTCTCGTGCAACACTGAGTTGTTCTCTCGTATCCACTGTGCAAGCCCACATGACATACATGAGCGCCAAGAAATGACTGGGAGTTTTGTGGGGATTCTTACATTTGATTTCGGCAGGCTGCCGTCACCGATATATTTACATACATAAGTCGTGCCTCAGTTTGCCCTCTTGTCCCAAGCGACAATCATGGCGGACACCAAGGACGCTACTTTCTTGTCCAATCCTCCTGGATACTCACCGCTCCCCACTGTTAATCCTGCGGCATCGAAAGACGAACGTGTCGATGAGCAACCCGCTCCGAACAAGTGCAAGCGCTGCTCTTGTGCAAGGCACTTTTGGAGGTTCATCTCCATTGGTTTCGTAATCTTTATTATTGCCAAAGGCATCAAGTACCTATGGCGAGGATCCGTACGCACAACTTTTGACTCACCGTCGACGTCTTGGGGGCTGACAACGTGTTTCTCCCTGTCCTCTAGGGTCAGCACCTCAAATCTCCCTACGAGGATGACTACATCATGCGCGTGTATGACTTTTCTGGCGATTTTGATCTCTATCATGGCGATGATGATGATCACCCCAAACCCCACTGCACCAAATGGAGAAACTCAACTATGCCGGGCGAGACTACTTACCACCTAAATGTTTCCGCGGCTGCAGAGGTCATCAAGCTTGTGTCTGGCGGTGGTTTCAAGGGCACTGTCGACTACGTTATCGCCGACAAGGACTTAGGGGACACGATTGGTGTCAAAATTGCTCTGAGTGCACCAGCAAAGATTGAGGAGCCCGAGACTGACTTAGCCGTTCACTCATGGTGGAAGCGTTTAAAGCATAAAAAGCATAAAATTAAGGGCCCTAAAGCCTATGTGTGCACCATTCCGACGCCTGAAGGCAATGTCAAAGGTGTGGTCTTGTCGGTAAGTCCGTGTCCGGTATGAATTTGGGTGGCCATCGGTAAAAACAACTACTTTAGCGTAAGCCCCCCCACCATGGTCACCATGGTCACCGCCCTTGGCGCTCGTTGCCACCAGATCCACTTGAGGAGTTCCTCTCTCCATCACTTCCAGATGCTGGCATGTCCATCCCTCCCCCACCATCTTCGGAACATTGCCTACCGCCACCTTTGTACCCTGGGGATCTTCGAGAAGTGTGGGTGGATGGTAAACACCCTCATCGTCGTTGTCATCCCACGGCGCCTGTCACTGCCAAGATCGTTGTCACCTTGCCACGTGGTCATCTCGAGCTTGCTTCTTTCTCAAGCGTGTTTCCCCATTTCGCTCAGCATATCAATGGCGCCTTTGACGATGCCGTCTTTGGAAAGCTCTTCGTTGTTGGTGCAACATCTGGACTGCCTAGAAGAGTCAAAGCCGATGTGGCATCAATCATTGCCGAAGGAAACCCGATTAATGGAACGTATGTGGTGAAGGACCGTTTGGAGTTGGTCACCGCGGGGGCACCCATCACTGTAAATGTCACCCTTCTCTCGGACGCGACGGCCTACAAACACACGAGACTAAATATAGCAAATCGCAACGGCTCTGTTGATGCCGAGGTTCAGCTTGTCGCTGTTGGACCCTCCAAAGACACAGTTAATGGCTTATTCAGTATCAATACTTTTACTTCTCACCGTCTTGCGAAAGTGAACGTCACCTCCTTCCCTCTCGGTGGCTATTTGGCATTTGATGTCGTGAACCGTTACGGTGAGATCGTTGTCACTGTCCCTCCCTCTTACGAAGGCAGGTTCGGCCTTGTCAACAGGGGCGGTACGTCCATCGCCAAGTCCGACAAAGATACAAAAGATCCTTCTGGCAAGGGACGAAATAGGGTGATATTGGTTAGGAACATCGTCGGAGGCATCGTAGATGGCTTCATTGGCTGGGCCGATGACCCGGAGGATGGTGTCACTATCGGGAAGGTTGATGCAGAGGAATTCGAGGTATCCGGTGAAGGCGAACAAGGATGGGACGAATATTTCGCCGAATTCGTTCCTCCCATTTACAGTGACCACATTTACAGGGACCCCATGTTCACCGACTCTAGGATTGATCTAGTTTCTACCAAGGGGATTGTCCTGCTTGATCTTAACTAACGTTTGTTGAGTCTGGAGCATTATAGTTTCTTTGCTTCAGTTCGCGTGTTTGTTTCCCCAAGTATTATGGATTTGTGTACATGTGTCTGTTCAAATTAAATATCTCGAAGTGGCTTCTAGCTGGGCGATGCGACCGGTGCTTTCTGCTTATGTTGCAGGAATGTGAATTAAAAGGCAATATTCCCTAATTGTTATGGCTACACTCAAGCCAAAACTGAAAGGGGTCGATTAGACCCCAGGATTGTTGTGATGCCCTCGGATTGGATGGCTGAGAGGTGACGGTGGGGGAATGGCCAAATAGTGAGTGCGCGGATGGTTACAGACCGACCAACGGCGTGATATTGGGCAAACTCGAAATACCAGATAGTGAACACAGTAGCTAGCGGAGGGGGGACTAGAGAACAACGCCGAAGCACTAGTGAGAGAATTAGGTGAATGGCAGACAAACAAAGGCACGAAGAAAGGTGGTCGGTGGTGGGCAGGCCGGCTAGATTGGAATAAGTATAGGCATGGCCGATGTCTACCGATGCGCAGCCATGCAGGATCGGGTAGGATATGTCATCATTGTATATACTATCTCTAACCTATCAGCCCAGTAACATCCCCGCCACGGAGTAGGGATCGACTTGGAAATGAGTCTTGTGTTCTGTCCCCCGACCATGAATATACGGCTCCTCTCGGTCGTCTCCGGCCTGACTCATCCCTTCCACAACTATGAGCAGGCTCACCATGTGGGTAACAAACATGTACGATAACTCTAGGTCTGCGGCTCATTGGGTGGGTATCAGATGCATCAGTAACTCCGTTCAGACTTGACGGACCCAGTCCGACCTCAGACCTGACCGAAGTCTCCATGACTACGGGTCCGACTTGGTCTCGTGCAAACACTGAGTTGTTTGGGCGCCTCTCGTACAAGCCCACATGGCGGACATGAGCGCCAAGGAACAAAAATGATTGGGAGAGTCCAGTTTAGTAGGGATTCTTACATTTGATTTCGGCAGGCTGCCGTGCACGGCCTCGTCACCGATACATTTAGATACATAAGTCGCGCCTCAGTCTGCCCTCTTGTCCCAAGCGACAATCATGGCGGACACCAAGGACGCTACTTTCTTATCCGATTCTTCTGGATACTCGCCGCTCTCCACTGTTAATCCTGCGGCATCGAAAAACGAACGTGTCGACGAGCAACCCACTCCGAACAAGTGCAAGCGCCACTATTGCGTAAGGCACCTTTGGAGGTTCATCGCCATTGGTTTCGTCATCTTTACCATCGCTAAAGGCATCAAGTACCTATGGCGAGGATGCGTACGCGCAACTTTTGACTCACCGTCGACGTCTTGGGGGCTGACGAAATGTTTTCTCCCTGTCCTCTAGGGTCAGCACCCCAAATCTCGCTACAGGGACAACTACATAATGCGCATGTATGACATTGCTGGCGATTTTGATCTCCATCGTGGTGGTCACCCCAAACCCCACTGCACCAAGTGGAGAAACTCAACTGCACCGGGCGAGACTACTTACCACCTGAATGTTTCTACGGCTGCAGAAATCATCAAGCTTTTGTCTGGCGGCGGTTTCAAGGGCACTGTTGACTACGTTATCGCTGACAAAGACATAGGAGACACGATTGGTGTCAAGATTGCTCTGAGTGCACCAGCAAAGATTGAGGAGTCCACTGACTCGACCGTTCACTCATGGTGGAAGCGTTTAAAGCATCAAAAACTCAAAATTATAGGCCCTAAAGCCTATGTGTGCACCATTCCGACGCCTGAAGGCAATGTCAAAGGTGTGGTCTTGTCGGTAAGTCCACATCCGGTCTGGATTTGGGTGCCCATCGATGAAAATAACTACTATAGCGTAAGCGTCCACGCTTCGGTCACCACCCTTGGCGCCCGTTGCCATCATATGCTGGCATGCCCATCCCTCCATCCCTGCTGTCTCATTCAGAACGTTACCTACCACCACCTTTATACCCTGAGGATCTTCGAGAAGTGTACGAGGTTACTGGCTGGGTGGATGGCAAACACCCTCATTGTCATCCCATGGCGCCTGTCACTGCCAAGATCGTTGTCACCTTGCCGCGTAGTCATCTCAAGCTTGCTTCTTTCTCAAGCGTGTTTCCCCACTTTAGTCAGCATATCAATGGCGCCTTTGATGATGTCGTCTTTGGAAAGCTCTTTGTTGTTGGCGTAACATCTGGATTGCCTAGAGTCAAAGCCGATGTGGCATCAATCGTCGCTGGAGGAAACCCGATTAACGGAACTTATGTGGTAAAGGACCGATTGATGCTGGCCACCGAGGAGGCACCCATCGCTGTAAATGTCACCCTTCTCTCGAACGCGACGGTGCACAAGCACACGAGACTGGATATAGAAAATCGGAACGGTTCTGTTGATGCCGAGGTTCGGCTTGTCGCTGTTGAACCCTCCAAAGACTCAGTCAATGGCTCATTCGGTATCAATACTTTTACTTCTCACCGTCCTTTGAGGGTGAATGTCACCTCCTTCCCTCTCGGCGGTTATTTGAGATTTGATGTCGTGAACCGTCAAGGCGAGATCGTTGCCGCTGTGCCTCCCTCCTACGAAGGCAGGTTCGGTCTTGTTAGCAGGGGCGGTGCGTCCATCGCCAAGTCTGACAAAGATACAAAAGATCCCTCTGGCAAGGGGCGAAAGAGGGTGATGTTTGTTAGGCACGTTGTCGGAGGTATCATAAATGGCTTCGTTGGCTGGGCCGATGATCCGGAGGATGGCATCACTATCGGGAAGGTTGATGCAGAGGAATTGGAGGTATGCGGCGAAGGCGAAAAAGGATGCCGCGTTACCAGACCTCTTCCTGGAGGGGACGAATATTTTGATGGATTTGATCCTCCCATTGATGACGAGGGCCCCATGTTCACCGAGTCTAGGATTGATATAGTTTCTACCGAGGAGGTTGTCCTGATTGATCTTAACTAACGTTTGTTGAGTCTGGAGCATTATAGTTTCTTTGATTCAGTTCGCGTGTTTGTTTCTCCAAGTATTGTGGATTTGTGTACCTGTATCTGTTCAAATTAAATATCTCGAAGTGTCTTCCAGCTGGGCGATGCGACCGGTGCTTTCCGCTTATGTTGCAGGAATGTGAATTAAAAGGCAATACATGATTGCTGTGGCTACACTCCAGTCATTTTTGTTCCTTAGCGCTCATGTACGCCATGTGGGCTTGCACAGTGGATACGAGAGGCGCCTAAACAACTCAGTGTTGCACGAGACCAAGTCGGACCCGTGGTCATGGAGACTTCGGTCAGGTCCGTGGGTCCGCCAAGTCTGAACAGAGTTACTGATGCATCTGATACCCACCCAATGAGCCGCAGACCTAGAGTTATCGTACACGTTTGTTAACCACATGGTGAGCCTGCTCATAGTTGTGGAAGGGATGAGTCAGGAGACGACCGAGAGGAGCCGTATATTCATGGTCAACGTCATAGCGAATATTTGATTGGGGCGTAATTCATGGTCGGGGGGCAGAACACAAGACTCATTTCCAAGTCGATCCCATACTCTCACTACTCCGTGGCGGGGATGTTACTGGGCTGATAGGTTAGCGATATATGCAATGACGACATATCCTACTCGATCCTACATGACTGCGCATAAGTAACTCATAAGGGACATCAGCCATGCCTATACTTATTCCAATCTAGCCGGCCTACCCACCATCGACCACCTTTCTCCGTGCCTTTGTTTGTCTGCCATTCACCTAATTCTCTCACTAGTGCTTCGGCGTTGTTCTCTAGTCCCCCCTCCGCTAGCTATATACTGTCTTCACTATCTGGTATTTCGAGTCTGTCCAATATCACGCCATTGGTCGGTCTGTAACTATCCGCGCACTCACTATTTGGCCATTTCCCCCACCATCACCTCTCAGCCATCCAATCCGAGGGCATCACAACAATCCTGCGGGGTCCAATCGACCCTTTTCTTCAGTTACAGTTTTGGCTCGAGAGTCCAGTTTTGTAGGGATTCTTACATTTGATTTCGGCAGGCTGCCGTGCACGGCCTCATCACCGATACATTTACATACATAAGTCGCGCCTCAGTCTGCCCTCTTGTCCCAAGCGACAATCATGGCGGACACCAAGGACGCTACTTTCTTATCCGATTCTCCTGGATACTCACCGCTCCCCACTGTTGATCCTGCGGCATCGAAAGATGAACTCGATGAGCAACACGCTCCGAACAAGTGCAAGCGCCACTATTGCGTAAGGCGCCTTTGGAGGTTCATCGCCATTGGTTTCGTCATCTTTACCATCGCTAAAGGCATCAAGTACCTATGGCGAGGATGCGTACGTGCAACTTTTGACTCACCGTCGACGTCTTGGGGGCTGACGAAGTGTTTTCTCCCTGTCCTCTAGGGTCAGCACCCCAAATCTCGTTACAGGGACAACTACATAATGCGCATGTACGACATTGCTGGCGATTTTGATCTCCATCGTGGTGGTCACCCCAAACCCCACTGCACCAAGTGGAGAAACTCAACTGCGCCGGGCGAGACTACTTACCACCTGAATGTTTCTACGACTGCAGAAATCATCAAGCTTTTGTCTGGCGGTGGTTTCAAGGGCACTGTTGACTACGTTATCGCCGACAAAGACATGGGAGACACGATTGGTGTCAAAATTGCTCTGAGTGCACCAGCAAAGATTGAGGAGTCCACTGACTCGACCGTTCACTCATGGTGGAAGCGTTTAAAGCTCAAAATTATAGGCCCTAAAGCCTATGTGTGCACCATTCCGACGCCTGAAGGCAATGTCAAAGGTGTGGTCTTGTCGGTAAGTTCATATTCGGTCTGGATTTGGGTGTCCATCGGTGAAAATAACTACTATAGCGTAAGCGTCCCCGCTTTGGTCACCGCCCTTGGCGCCCGTTGCCATCATATGCTGGCATGTCCTTCCCTCTTTCCCCGCCGTCTCGTTACCCACCGCCACCTTTATACCCTGAGGATCTTCGAGAAGTGTATGAGGTTACTAGCTGGGTGGATGGCAAACACCCTCATCGTCATCCCACGGCGCCTGTCACTGCCAAGATCGTTGTCACCTTGCCGCGTAGTCATCTCGAGCTTGCTTCTTTCTCGAGCGTGTTTCCCCACTTTAGTCAGCATATCAATGGCGCCTTTGATGATGTCGTCTTTGGAAAGCTCTTTGTTGTTGGCGTAACATCTGGACTGCCTAGAGTCAAAGCCGACATGGCATCAATCGTCGCTGGAGGAAACCCGATTAACGGAACTTATGTCGTGAAGGACCAATTGATGCTGGCTACTGAGGAGGCACCCATTGTTGTAAATGTCACCCTTCTCTCGAACGCGACGGTCTACAAGCACACGAGACTGGATATAGAAAATCGGAACGGTTCTGTTGATGCCGAGGTTCGGCTTGTCGCTGTTGAACCCTCCAAAGACTCAGTCAATGGCTCATTCGGTATCAATACTTTTAATTCTCACCGTCCTGTGAGGGTGAATGTCACCTCCTTCCCTCTCGGCGGTTATTTGAGATTTGATGTCGTGAACCGTTACGGCGAGATCGTTGCCGCTGTGCCTCCCTCTTACGAAGGCAGGTTCGGTCTTGTTAGCAGGGGCGGTACGTCCATTGCCAAGTCTGACAAAGATACAAAAGATCCCTCCGGCAAAGGGCGAAAGAGGATGATGTTTGTTAAGAACATCGTCGGAAGCATCATAAATGGCTTCGTTGGCTGGGCCGATGGCCCGGAGGATGGCGTCACTATCGGGAAAGTTGATGCAGAGGAATTGGAGGTATGCGGTGAAGGCGAAAAAGGATGCCGCGTTACCAGACCTCTTCCTAGAAGGGAGGGAGGGGGCGAATATTTTGATGGATCCGATCCTCCCACTGATGACGAGAGCCCCATGTTTACCGAGTCTAGGATTGGTCTAGTTTCTACCAAGGGGATTGTCCTGCTTGATCTTAACTAACGTTTGTTGAGTCTGGGGCATTATAGTCTCTTTGCTTCAGTTCGCGTGTTTGTTTCTCCAAGTAGTGTGGATTTGTGTACATGCATCTGTTCGAATAAAATGTACTCCAACAATGGAGAGACCACTGCCAAAGCAGGATACAGGAGCTGGTTCGGCCGCGGCGACACAAGAACACAAGCAGCGACTACCACACAGTCCAACATTGAAATTTTAAGTGGTGCGTCACAACTCTAGGCCCCAACCTGCACGAGACGGAGGACGACGACTACGTCCTCACCAAACAAACCGAGGCGATCAAACAAACAGTGAACACCCTAAGGTTCAGGGACGACCTCGCCATCCTGAAAAGGACCAAAGGGCATGCTGGCCTGACCGGGAATGAGGAGGCTGACAAATTGGCCGTAGAAAGGGCCACCGCCCCGAGACCCAACGTCCAAGCAACTGCGAGAGCGCTGCCCAACTGCCCCGACGGAGCCAGACTGAAAAAACCTGACCCAAGCTAAAGCACTGGAACTGATCATATGCGAGAGAACTACGTCCCACACAGAACTGCCCCAAAAGACACAAGACAACCTAAACGCGATCAGGCAAGCTAGTCCTAGCCAGGCTAAATAACGAAAGCCCCACAAATGGACAACCCTGCAAAAAAAAGCAGGAGAGATTTCCCCGAGCATCAGAGTCTTCATATGGAAAATGCGCACAAAATCGGGCAATTCTGGGAGAAGAAGCCAGGTTGCGAACTGAGAGGGAGATGCACTAGATGTGGAGTCGTAGAATCAATGAACCGCATCCTGTTCGAGTAAGGTGCCTCCACAACAGAGGAAGGGAAATCTGGCTAGTCGTCGAGGTGTGCACGAAAGGGACATCGAATGGCCCCAAGACATGAACACCTCTCATGTAATGGCCACGCCGCTACTCAAGCTAAGGGACGAAAACAAGACAACTCCAGGCTACTAACAATCCTAATCTCCGAGGGAGCTGGTCTGGAAACTTGGGTGCCACAGAGTAATAGGCAGCACCCCCGGCAGTTCCGCCTAACACCCCCAGTGGAACAGCGGGTTCCACGTGCGCGAACGCACTCCTATAATTTTGTTTGTGCCCGCGAACACTTTTCTCACGAACTCTGCCATATGGCTTGATTGGTGACACCGCTCATCACACTCAACTATCCATTTCATTCCAGCTAAGGGCCCCACAGAGGCGCATGCATCATTTGTCAGCGTTTTAGTTCAATGACCACGGTTCTTCAAGAATCACGAGTGAATTGCACGAAATTCGCCCAATTCATGTCGGGGAACGAAAAGAAGGAAAAGAAGAGAGGCTCCTTCCCCCTTGGATAAATAGAGTTGTGCATCATTCTCTCCTCTTGTCCCCTCCCAACTTTTCCCTTTCGCCCATAGTCCTCGCCGTTCTTTGTCGTCGTTACCGCTTTCTTCAAGCAAAATTTTCTGAAGGGTACGTCGAAAACACCGGTCGTGCAAGTCAAGGCCCTTGGTTGACGAAAACATGCTTACAATGGTAGACAATGGCTGGTGGACCTGGAATTACAAGGGGAGGTGTTGGCCATGATTCGCTGCCATGGACAATCGCCATGGCCTCCTTTGCCGCTTTTGGTGGTATTCTTTTTGGGTTGGTTACCCTCGCCGTCACTTCCCTGCGTGTTACGTACTCATCCATGATGTATTCGTAGTTACGACACTGCGACAATTGGAGGAGTTATTGCTATGAAAGACTGGCTCGACGTATTTGGCTCTCATGATCCTTCCATTGGCCAATACCTCGGGACGAACCACAAGTCTCTAGTTGTGAGTATCCTCGACACCCTTCCGCTCCGTTTTATTTTCGGATGATTGCCAAGGAAGGTGGGCCTCTCATCATAATCACTTCCATCTTAGGTGTCCATCCTTTCTGCTGGTACTTTTTTCGGCGCTCTCATCTCCTTTCCTCTGGGTGATCTCATTGGCCGCAAGTATGGTCTCATCTCTTCTTGTCTCATCTTTTCTCTTGGAATTGGCCTTCAGCTCTCGACTCATTGGGTAACCTTCATCGTTGGTCGAGTTGTTGCCGGCCTCGGAGGTGAGTCAATTAAGCTCGACAATATCAAATACGAATGTCATATCAAATTTTCTTCGACAGTCGGTGCCGTGTCTTGCCTCGTACCCATGTACCAATCCGAATGCTCGCCTAAGAAACTACGAGGGTTTATCGTCGGACTCTATCAATTCGCTATCAGCATCGGTGCCCTTCTTGCTGCTATCGTCCTCAACGCAACCAAGGATGAGAACTCACATTCATCTTGGCGTACACCCATCGCTGTCCAATTCGTATGGGCTGCCGTCCTTGGTGGAGGCATGCTTGTTCTTCCCGAGTCTCCTCGCTATCTGCTTTATAAGAATAAGTGGGATGCTGCGAAGCACTCTCTTTCGCGCCTCCTTGTCAAGCCTGCGAATTCCCCCGAAGTTGATACCGAGATTGCTGAGATTTGGCTCGCCCTTGAGGCTGAGCGTGCCTTGGGTGGTAACACATATCTGGACTGTTTCAAGGTGAATTCTATTTCATTCCTTTGATTCCCCCCTTGTGTATTCATTCAAATTATCACCTGGCACTGGCATGTTGCGATAGTTCACTGCAAATAGGAACTTCTTACGTACCATGACTGGTATTTGGCTCCAAGCATGGCAGCAACTTACCGGAATCAACTTCATCTTTTATTACGGGACGACCTTTTTTAAGAGTGCTGGTATTTCAAACGCTTTTATCATTACGATCGTTTGCAACGTCGTCGGTACCTGCATGTGTATCGTCGGTATCCAACTCATCGACAGGGTGGGCCGTAGGAAGTTGATGATAATCGGTGCCATCGGTATGATGGTCTGCGAATATATCATCGCTATCGTAGGTGTTACAGCTGGGAAGACACACTTCGACGCTTCCACTGGTCTGTCGCAAGCTGTATCCGTCACAGCTCAACGAGT